CAAGATTGTGGGATTTTAAGCTTTTGGGATTCAAAGGTCCCTTTGATGGTTATCTGACAAAGGGATAATTGACTCAAAATCCTGCATCTTAAAAATCTTGTTGCTTTCTAAGGTGCTACTGGACTCTGTATTTCTTGGGGGCTTTTGTTTGTAATACTTTTAAACACTCCGACCTAGATGGTCCAAAGCTAGCCTAATGTTGTCACTACTGACAGCTCTCAGAAAGTCAAGCAGGGTTGGCCCTAGTTAGTACTTGGATGGGAGACCTCCAGGGAGTCCAGGGTCACAATGCAGGTGGGCAATGGCAAACCACCTCTGAACATCTCTTGCCTTGAAAACCTAGGTGGAAGGAGCCGTAAGTGGGCTTTGACTTGATGACATTCTACCACTAATATTTTTAAAAATGAAACTGATGGACAACCCAAGGACTAAAAGGATTTTTTAAAAACAGGTGGAACCCATGGGTACTCATTGAAATTGCTGAGCAGTCGGGTTAGAAGGGAGAAAAGGAAGTACTTCTTCACTCAAAGTGAATAACGCATAGAATTCACTGCCAAAGGAGGTGGCGGCGGCTACAAGCATTGATGGCTTCAAGAGGGAATTGGATAAACATATGGAGCAGAGGTCCATCAGTGGCTATTAGCCACAAGGTATAGATAAGAACTCTTGGTCTGGGGCAAGTGATGCTCTGTGTTCTTGGTGTAGTGGTTAGGAGTGCAGACTCTAATCTGTGAGAACCGGGGTTGATTCCCCACTCCTCCACATGCAGCTACTGGTGTGACCTTGGGTTGGTCATAAGTTCTTTCAGAGCTGTTCTCTCAAGGACAGTTCTCAAGAGTGCTCTCAGCCCCACCTACCTCACAGGGTATTTGTTGTGGGGAGGGGAAGGGAAAGGAGATTGTAAGCTGCTCTGAGACTCCTTCAGGTAGTGAAGGGCGGGGTATAAATCCAATCTCTTCTTCTTCTTTTTGGTGCTGGGGGGGGCACAGTGGGAGGGCTAGTGTCCTGGTCCCAGTGGTGGACCTCCTGATAGCACCCGGTATTTTTGGCCACTGTGTGACAAGAGCGTTGGACTGGATGGGCCATTGGCCTGATCAAACATTGGCTTCTCTTATGTTCCTAAATAAAATGATGGAAAGAATAAGTAAAAGGTAAAGGTTTCCTTGCTCGAAAGCCAGTTGAATCCGACTCTAGGGTTGCGGTGCTCATCTCCGTTTCAAAGCCGAAGAGCCAGCGCTGTCCGAAGATGTTTCCGTGGTCATGTGGCCGGCGTGACTAAACACCAAGGCACATGGAACGCTGTTACCTTCCCACCGAAGTGGTACCTATTTATCTACTTGCAATTTCTTGCTTTCGAACTGCTAGGTTGGCATTACAGTGACACTAAATCACAGGTATATCAATCTATCAATCGGACTACAGTCTGTTGTACAAAATATTTTTTGCAGCAGCCTGTGAAATCCATCAGGAAATCTTGCTTACTGAATTTAAATTTTAGCTAATTTTATAATTTGAGTTTCCGTATATTGGTTATTATGTCTTACTCTTTTTGTCTGAGTTTTCTTTTTTCATCTGTAACTTGTAACTTTGTGATTTGTGCTGGTCATTGATTGAGGTATATTGTATTCTTATACTTGGTATAAAGAGGAAAAACACAGCAGGTTATTTATTTATGTATTTGATTTCTATCCCACCCTCCCCAGCATAGCAAGGCCCAGGGCAGGTTACAACAATATAATAATGCAATACAATAGTTAAAACATAGAGATAACAATCATAAAGGACAATGTACTGGAAGTTACAATGCCAGCATATAATACAGTGATTGTATGAGAAGATTTTGCTACAGCAGGCTACAATAAATGCAGTCATTTGAGTACATATGTAGAACAAGCACTTTCAGTGTCTAATATATTCCATCCCCCCCCCCCAAGATCCTGGGCAAATAGCACATCCAGGTATTCCCAAATGCTACCGTTTAATAACCAGACTAGATTATTTTATGATTTAATAAGTTAGGGTGCCAGTACCCATATCAGAATGAACAGTGGCCATGGAATGATTCCTTACAGGTAGAAGAAGCTTATCATACACTGAGACTGGCATAACTAATTTAATACCAAAAAAACTTAGAATAATGAAACAACATAAACATTCAAGAGACAGAAATGAGACATCTTAACGGAGCATTACTATACACCTATCACCAGTTTAGCAGGAGAGAATTTAAAAGATTTTAAAAAACGGAGGTTCCTCATTTGAAGTAAGAGGTCAAAGCATATTCTGCCCTGCTTTGGCAAGAATGGTCATCCGTCCTACTGTTCAGCCTTGAATTTCTTACCCAGAGAGCAGGGGGTCTCCAACGTGGTGCCCGTGGGTGCTACGGTGCCCACCGACACCTTTTCTAGAGCCCATCAAGTGTTTTCAAGGAGTGGATGGGGCCAGGTAGGGCTTCACCCAAAGAGTGATTAACACAGAGAATTCACTGCCATAGGAGGTGGTGGCGGCTACAAGCGTGGATGGCTTCAAGAGGAAATTAGATAAGCATATGGCGTAGAGGTCCATCAGTGGCTATTAGCCACAAGGTATAGATAGGGACTCCGGGGCAAGTGATGCTCTGTCTTCTTGGTGCTTGGGGGGGGGCAACAGTGGGAGGGCTTCTAGTGTCCTGGCTCCACTGATGGACCTCCTGATGGCACCTGGTATTTTTTGCCACTGTGTGACAGTGTTGGACTAGATGGGCCATTGGCCTGATCCAACATTGGCTTCTCTTATGTTCTTATGTTCTGCCCAGCAAGGCTTCTGATTGGCTGTGCAGTTTTTTTTAAAAAATGTTGCTTTGGCAGCAGCTGCCACCACAGCACAAGGATCTGTGTTGTGCTACTGAAGTTAAGCTGCGGCAGCCATTTTGTGGCTGGGTCCTGCTACTGTGGCAGCCATTTTGTTGCTGCACCCACCTTGCTGTGTCAGAATGGCAGATTTGCCCGCAGCCTCAAAAAGGGTGTGGACCCCTGCCGTAAAGAATTAGGTCCGAGAAATGAATGACAGATTCTTGCCCTGATCACTCATTATGAGCACATTTCAGAAGTTTAGCAGACTGGGGGCTAAACTACAATAAGCACCCCAAATAAACCCAAACTGGTTTACATTATTACCTCACAGCTCTCTCATGGGCCCTCAGATACCTTAGGTTTAGCCTATAAGATGCACTCACCACTGGGAGTCTTTTCACATGACCTATTAGTTCATTTAGAAAGGTCACTACTTGCATTTGGCATGCTGTTTGCCTGCCAGCTCAAGAATTCCATGATGATGTCACACAAATCTTTTTTTGGACCATGCCAATTAAAACCTTTTATTGTACTCCCAGGAAAGAGGCTTTTAGTAACTGTTGGCCACAGAGTTCTAACTCCAAAGCTTCTGAAAGACCATCTAGCCATCTGTGTGTCTATGGCTTGCCTTCAAAATAATGGCTTCTACAACTTCCTTGATACAGTGAGTTGACTTATAAGATATGGAACCTCTAGAACTCCAAGAAAGGTAAGAGGAAAAACATCCTGTGATTGAAAACAATTTCAAAAGATCTTTTAAACCACTGTAATGCCCATCATTGTTTGCAGCAGTCAATACTCATAGCAAGTTCTCTTCACAGACTTCACATGGCCAGCTAGGAATGTGGTATGTATCATGTGGCTAAGGTCTTGCACCCAAAGAGGGGTGGGGGAATCCTGATATTAATTCAGTGACAACTAATCCATGCTGGAGCAGCTACTGTGGTTGTTGTAGTAAGAACCTTAAGGAGTTTTGTAATACGTTGAAGACTAACACATTTTTATTCTAACATAAACATTTGTGGACTGGCATTGTTAGAAAGCAAAGCCTAAGTCTTCCTAAGCATTTCTATCAGACGCAGACAGAAGGGATTGAGAGCTTATCTAAAAGCTAAGGTCAGTAGCTAGAAAGAACAAAGCCCTGTTACAACACGTAAACAGTACAACACACAGTTTCTGAGATCCCGAGATAAAGAACTGGGGCCTGGACAGCCTTATCTTGCAGATGACACTTGTACCATGGACAGGAGAAGGGCTTGTGCTTGGTCAAAGTGATGTGCAAGCATCCTACGGGGTACATGCTGCAAGAGGAGTATAAGAAGAGTGGCTACGATTTCTCAGGGCTGGTTCTTCTTCCCCAAGGGTCCACCCTGTCTGGACAGCCTTTCTTTAATCCATGGCAACTAGCTAGGTTGGATAAATATGTTGTCTCTCTGTGCTTGTCCATTACCCAGAGTAAAATCCAGGGCTTTGGGCTGTGGTTGTCTCTTCCTGGGGACTTGCCTTGATTGTTTGCTATCTGCCTGCTCAATAGACTTGGTCGGACAAGAACCCGTTTCTGTGTATGTGTGTGGTGGGTTTGGAGAGGAGTCAATCAGAAGGGAATAAGATGCTTCCACATGCAGGGACAGGTTGTTCCTCATGACAGGCTGCGTAGTTAGCCCAATATCCCTTCCTGAGGGCCTTCCAGGAGAAAGGCCATTTTGCATTTCTTACAGCATCTGATAATCCCATCCTGGATTTCACCAAGGTTTTGTATCTAGTCCCGGCTATAGCTGTAGGTGTGAGTCACCTTCTAAATCTAACTGGTTATGAACGTAGGGTTGCCAAGTCAATTTTTCTTACCGGCGGGGGAGCCTTGCCGGGCTCCGGGAGCCATACATTAATGTGTGTATGTGCGCGCGCGCCACCAGCACGTCACCGGAAGTGACGCGCGACGTCAATCACGTTGAGGGCGTGGCCCTGATCATGGGAGGGAAAACCATAGAGTTTTCCCTCCGACGATCGGGGCCATGCCCCCAACGTGATCGACGTGGTTGCGTCACCTCTGGGGACGCAGCCACGCTGCGCTTCGGGGGGCGGAGTTCCCCCCAGGGCCCGATTTCACGGCAGCGGGAATCGGTCCTCTGAAGCGGGGGTTTACCCACCCCCCACCCCCACTTGGCAGCCCTATATGAACGTCACATTCTTTTTTTCCTTCAAAGGTAAGTAGACTAAAAAGAATACCCCCTAATTTCACATTCAGCTTGATCCCTCGCATTGCAGCATCTGCCACTCTCAACCACGGCAGAGCACTAGCCTGTCTTTTAAGAGCACAACTTCAGGACAGTTGATGAATCAACAATCCGGAAAAAAGGGAAAATTTCTTCCCCTTCAAAATCAACCGACTGAAATGTGTAGAGACGGGTCTTATCTTCAGCATCATAAAAATTAACTGTCCCGCCTTCGTAGTTCAAAGAAACCTGGATCTCTGTTGGCTCATCCTCTACTTCTAGCACAGTAGGAGGTGAGGTCAGAGCTTTGTACTGATCGTTGTAAAGCCCAATTGCCCAGATTCCCTCATCAGGTTCAAGAGTAATTTCCTCCTCCCGCTCCACAGATTCTTTGGCCACTCCCACAGCCCAATAATCTCCATCTCCTACATCCACAGTCCAATAATGTTTTCCTGAAGTGAACCCCTCACAGCCAAGAACACAGCGAACACACTCAAATCTCTTTTCGTATTGCTGACGGACATCCCCCCATTTTAAAGTCTTCTGATCTGCAGACACAACGTATCGGGGATGGGCTGTTTCTGGATCCAGCAACACATTTTCTGCAACAGAGTAAACAAAAATTCAAAACAGCTATCCAGTTCTTTTCATTGAACCAACTTTGCTTTGCAAAGTAAGGTATCAAGCAGGGAATTTGATGGGGCAATCACACTATGGCTTCAACATGTTCTGCATAGGTCCACACAATTCCTCCTTCTCACTTGCTAAGAAATGATTAATTACATCATCGAGTGCCATTTCACATTGCCTGGGCAGTGTGCCAATATGTGGACTGGATTCAAATAATATTGTAATGAATGTCTGGTCTTCTGATGGGTTCAGAACAAGGCAGAGGGCAGATTTAGGTTATTCCTTACCAACTGACTGACTGGTTGAGTTCTGAGCTCATCCATCACAGGCCTGCACGCAACCCTCAATTTCACCACACAGGGACAGGCTTTCTTATGTCTCCGGGCTTGGAAGCATCTCCATTAAACCACACTGGGAGCATATGCTCTCCCTCGCTTTTGAAACTGAAACCAAACTGCATCTCTTTCTCAAAGCAGAGTTCATCCTAGCTTTCCTCGGTCTCCTCACTACAGAAGGTGATTCACAAAACCTTCCTTTCTGTCCTGCCGTACCTCCAAGGAGGTCAGAGTGGGGTGGTCCCCTTCGCCTTTTTAACCTCACAATCCTGTGAGGTAGACTGAGATGAGAGAGTGACAGACTCAAGATCACCCAGTTAGCTTGTTGTTGGCAGAACTGGAATTTGAATCTGAATGCCCGGATCCTAGTCTGTAACCATTATTATACACTGGCTCTTACATTACATGGGGTCTCCCTGTGAAACTGGCTCTCAGAAACTCAAATGTATACCATCTAGATATGTATGAACAGGAAAGAATCTTGGGGATATAGACATCAGGTTCAAAGGCCTACCTTTGATCCATTTTGGTTTCAACATGTTCTCTAGAAAGATAAAAAGAGCAAGAGAAAAAAGGTAACGTTTCCATGGTACAACAACATAACCGATTTCTGTCTGTATACAAATTATGTACCAATTTAATATGGTCATGAATATCTCTGATACCTTGTGAAAGCTTCTTGCTAAATGAACAATTCTACTACAACTAGACTAATAATTCTGTTTAAACAAAGGTAGTTAGATATGCTGGTAAATTTGTCAATGGTATAATTAAAGCCACTCTATAGAGGAAGAGAGTAGAAATTGGTCCATGGTTCACATGGTTCAGTTGAGTGTGTGTAACGGCACCAAGGTCACCCAGGAAACTTCCATGGTAGAATGGGCATTCAAACCTGAGTCTCCAGATCCAGCAGCAGCAGGAGGAGGAGGAGGAGGAGGAGGAGAAGGAGAAGAAGAAAAAGAAGATAAGAGTTGGTTTTTATATCTCTACCCTAAGGAGGCTCAAAGCAGTTTATAATCTCCCTCCATTCCTCTCCCCACTACAGGTACCTTGTGAGGTAGGTGGGGCTCAGAGATTTCTGAGAGAACTATGACTGGCCCACAGTCACCCAGCAGACTTCATTCATTCATTCATTCATTCATTCATTCATTCATATTTATAGCCTGCCCTTACCGCTCAGCGTGGGTAATAACATTTTGTCAATACAATAAAACATTTCATAAATACAATACAAATTAAAATATTACAACATTATCTTATACATTAAAATGGTGCTCACCATCCTGCAATTAAAAAAGTATCAGTTGCGAGAGGTCCTGGCTCCTAATAGGATGTAAATAGGTCAGCAGTTGTTAAAATGGGTGGCAAAAACCTTAGAGAGGCCATATATAGACGCCCACTGCCTCAGCCAAAGGCCTGTCTTACGGGCCCGGCAGAAGTGGATCTGGAACTCAACTGGCAGCCAATGCAATTGGCAGAGCACCTGCCAAACATGAGCCCACACAGGCATTGCCGGGACAAGACAGACGTCTTTCGGGCCAGAGACTACCAGGAAATGCTGATCCATTGAGTGTAACGCTATTCAGGGCGCATACGGGAAGAGGCGGTCCTTCAGGTATGTTGGTCCCAGGCCGTTTAAGGGTTTAAAAGTTATTACCAACACCCTGAAGTGGATCTGGAACTCAACTGGCAGCCAATGCAATTGGCAGAGCACCTGCCAAACATGAGCCCACACAGGCATTGCCGTTAGCAGGCGCACCGCCGCATTTTGTACCAGCTGTAACTTCCAGGTCAGCCTTAAGGGTTAGCCTACATAGAGCGAATTGCAGTAATCAAGCCTGGAAGTGACCATTGCATGGGTTACTGTAGCCAAGTCTTGGGGGGAGAGAGAGGGTCTCAGTAACCTAATCTGCCAAAAATGGAAAAAGGCAGATTGGGCAACTGTAGCGACCTGGGCCTCCATAGAAAGGGAGGCATCCAGCGTTAGTCCCAGGCTCCTCACTTCTTGGATTGGCACCAAAGGAGCCCCTTCCAATGTGGGGGGCCTAATACCCACATCTCCTCCTTTCTGACTCAGGTACAGGACCTCCCTCTTCGATGGATTAAGTTTCAGCTGACTCTGCCGCAACCATCCAGCCACAGCCTCCAGTGCCTTGGCCAGATTATCAGGGACAGAAGACGGATGGTCATCCAGTAACAGATAAGAGTTGGATGTCATCTGCATATTGATGGCATCCCAGCCCATACCTCCAGACTAACTGGGTGAGGGGGCGCATATAGATGTTAAATAACACTGGCAAGAGGATTGCCCCCTGCAGCAACCCACATTCCTCTCGCCCAGCGCCACCCTCTGTCCTTGACTGTGGGAAAATGGGAAAAACCATTGCAAGGCAGTCCACACCTCATGTGGAGGAATGGGAATCAAACTGGGTTCCTCTGCTGTTAACCACTACACCATGCTGGCTCTCACTTTTGGTCTCTAACACTTCCCCTTACTGGCTCTCACTTCTGGTCCCAGCAATCAGACTACGTGTTCTCTTTTACCTCTGAATTTCTTCAAAGAACTCTGCAGAGATGTGCTCTCTTGACAGAACTGATTGAGCCTTTTCCTCATATCTGAAGAATCAGGTACAGCTGGATAATGAAATTTCCCCTTCTTACATCTGAAGGGAGAAAGCCAGAGAGAAAGCTGTTACACATAATGGTTCCTGTCAGGACCAATGTTTCCTCTAATTTTTCCCCCCTACTGAGCAGAGCAGTTCACATCCTGAGCAGAATATAATTGCTATAATCTTAAAATGGGCAATGGGCAGTGCAAGAGACCCTGTGTGGCTCCAGATAGCTGCTGAGCGGGGCCTTCCTGTGTTAATGAGCAGCCGCTCACGCACACAGCTTAGAAGGAACACTGGTCAGGAGTTAAGCTTATCAGCCAAACTGGCTTCCAAAGATGCTCAGAGAAATTAAAAAAAAACAACATTAATGACATTAACATCTAATATAAATGTTCCCTCAGAAGGAAATTCTCTGCTGAGCTGAATTCATGAATTGTGAAAGGGAGCCAGATTCTTTTGTTCTTCCTTCTGATGGTCCTGTTACTGGCAACTGGAAGCTGGAGGGAGAGGAGGCCGCAGCCAGATCTAGACTAATGTACAGCAGAAAGGTTTAGAAAAGAAAAAGGTGAGAGAGAGTCAAGACACATAACACTCCTTTGCTAAATGGAAACCATGACTCTTCAAAAATGATCATGCTCATAATCTTCAAGAGTAAATTCTCTAAGCAATTGGCTAGAACAGAATTAGCAACAGGGCTGAAGAGTCCTTATTTTAAAAGCCTGGAGGGGTGGGGGGGAGTGAAATCATGTTGGTATAAAGCAGACAGAGAGAGATTAAGAAATGAAAGGATAAAAAAAGATGTTGTAGCAGACTCAGAAGAAAGTAAAGAAAAAGACAGAACAGGACAGTGTTTCACAATAGTCCTGCAGAACTCTTATTGCTGGGGAAATTATTTTTGACAGAACAGGAGACAAATAATAAGGAATTTAGGTCCTGAGGTAAGTGAACACAACTCTTCTTTTGCTAATATATGCTAACCCACAGGAATCTCATTCACAGGGAAAAGTTGTGGTGTTTTCTCTGAAGATGGACAGTTGCTGGGAAAGGATCCCACCAGTGGGCACCTCAGGGATCATGCTACTGTACCTTGACCCTATTTTTGTTCACTTAGAAAAGAATCCTACTCACAGCCTGATCCTGTGCACATTATTTATTTATTTTATTTACATTGTATATTGTCTACCTTTCTCACTGAGACTCATAATGGATTACACAGTGTAAGTCAATGCAATAATTCACATGAATTCACAGTGCAATAATTCACATAAACAATGCAATAAGACTAGGATTATACCAATTTGAAACAGAACAAAAATAATTACACATAATATACTGTGATACAGTTCACAGTCCTGTTCATTTTATAACAGTTCCTTCCTAAACCATTCCATTATCCTATAGCCCTATTTCCTTTATTAAAATGCCCTCTTGACCCATTCTATTTTATATAGTTGGCAGAATGACAAAAGTGTGGAAGCTTTCATGACTTCCTCAGAAAGGCTGTTTCACAAATGGGAGCCACAACAGAAAATATCTGTGTATCAGCAGTTGCTGATCTTTCCCATTGACATAGCATGTTTGATACTTTTTTTGCATTTTTGTAAGCCTAGTCCTGTTGCATTGTTTATTAGATCTCTCATGCTGTTTGATTAGTATGTTCTATACCATGCAATCCAGTTTGAGTCTCAGGTAGAAAATTGGTAAATAACTAATAAAGCATAAATAAATAAATAATAAATTAAATAAATAATGACGGGCTGACCACCACTGTACTCATTTCTCTCCCCCCCCCCTAAAAAATTTTCTGGCTACGGGTCTGCAAGGCACCATCCCCAAATCTCCAGCAGTTTCCTAACCCGGTTGGCAATCCTACAGCAGCCATTTCCTTCCTTACCACTGGGTGGGCTTTAAATCAGCAATTTCACATCGTTATATCAATATACTATTACAACACCAACTGTAACATGTTCTGTGAATTCTCAGCTTTCATTAAAAATAGTATGTAGCCCTTTCCATTGTAGAGACATACAGTGAAAGGCATATCTCTGCAACAAAATAGGCTAGAGACTATTTAAAAAAATAAAAGTTGGGATGCCTTAGGATTTCAAAAATTTGAAAAAGCTCCACTGGCCCAAAGGGCAGGGGCAGGGAAACCTACCGTGTCAACACTGGTACCGTGTCAACCTACCATTACTGGGGCAGGGAAACCTACCGTGTGGAAGCTCCGTTGCCCTGTGCTGTACTGGCAGCCATACCAGTGATGAGGGAACCATGCAAGCCAGTTCCCATCTGAAACACCATAGTGCTGTGTTTAAAAGAGCAAAGGAGCGGCCCTGACCTGGACAGCCCAGGCAAGCCCGGTCTCGTCAGATCTCGGAAGCTAAGCAGGGCCAGCCCTGCCAAATACTTGGAAGGGAGACCTCCAAGGAGTACCAAGGCCGGGACACAGAGGCAGGTAATATCAAGCCACCTCTCTAAAATGTCCAGGCCCCACTAGGGGTTGCCAGAAGTCACCATGGATTCCAGGCACATAAACAAACACCCACACAAATATTCACAAAAACAGATCAGAGAAGCTAGGGGGCGGTAGAGCTAATTTAACCCCCCATATTTCTCCACATTAAAAAAAAAATCACACCCTTTATAGACGTTCATCTGGAATTCCTCAGGGAGTAAAGTAGCTGTGAGAGACAGTTTGGAACAGAAAAACTGACACCAGGGACATGCATAATGCATTGGTGCGTAAGACCAGTGGAGGCAGCTCCCACAGAAGTCAGTGGAGTGGCAGTGTTGACACAAGCACTGTACTTCGAAGACTGAAACCTTAATTCATTCCACATCTAGCATGTGGATGGTGCTGTGCACAAAATTTCAAAATTCTGTGTTGCCGTGATCTGTGCCTGCTCATCCGCATGCAGGCTAACCTGCTTTGCCTCTGATGTTTCTCGGAGCATCCTTTGGAGCAGAGGAGGAGAAACTGTGGAAGGAGGAACAGGAGAAGGATGTCCTGTGGAGACTCTGAAAAACTCCGCTGCACTCTGGAAGCAGGCCAGAGCGACACCGCCTGTCTGGACATAGTCTGAGTGATCTGAAGCAATTAAAAAAAAAATCACATACCTGTCCAATATGCTTCCAATATCCTAGAATGGAGAAAGAAAAGATTTAGACAGATTTCACATGGCCTATTTAAAATATCTTTGGCCTGAAATGTCATGCATACAGTACTCTTGTTTATACAGGAGTAAGAACCATAATTTTTGCAGTTGACAGGGTTATAGTGAGCATGGGTTTCGAGAACGTTTCCTGCCTACTTCTTATACATGCAGAAGGCCCACATTTCTGTTAAAAGGAACACATGGAATTCACTGCCACAGGAAGTGGTGGCAGCTACAAGCATGGACGGCTTCAAAAGGGAATTAGATAAGCATATGGAGCAGATGTCCAACAGTGGCTATTAGTCACAAGGTATAGATAGGAACTCTGGGGCAAGTGATGCTTTGTCATCTTGGTGCTTGGGGGGGGGGGGTCAACA